TACCTGGGAAGGTTGTGGAGCAGATTGTCTTAAATACCATCACATGGCATGTACAGGACAACCAGGTGATCAGGTCCAGTCAGCATGGGTTTATGAAAAGCAGGTCTTGCTTAACTAACCTGATCTTCTATGACAATGTGACCTGCTTAGTGGATCAGGGGAAACGCTGTGGATATTGTTTACCTGAACTTCAGTAAAGCCTTTGACACAGTTTCCCACAGCATTCTCCTGGAGAAACTGGCTGTTTGTGGCTTGGATGGGCGTACTCTTTGCTGGGTAAAAAAATGGCTGAATAGCCAGGCCCAAATAGTGGTGGTGAATGGAGTTAAATCCAGTTGGCAGCTGGTCACAAGTGGTGCTCCCCAGGGCTCAGTTCTGGGGCTGGCTTTGTTTAATATCTTTATCAATGTCCTGGATGAGAAGATCAAGTGCACCCTCAGTAAGTTTGCAAATGACACTAAATTGGGCAGGAGCATCGATCTGCTTGGGGGTAGGAAGGCTCCACAGAGGGATCTGGACAGGCTGGATCGATGGGCTGAGGCCAATGGGATGAGATTCAACAAGGCCAAGTCCTGGGTCCTGCACTTGGGTCACAACAACCCCATGCAGTGCTACAGGCTTGGGGAAGAGTGGCTGGAAAGCTGCCTGGCAGAAATGGACCTGGGGGTGTTGGTCGACAGCCAGCTGAATATGAGCCAGCAGTGTGCCCAGGTGACCAAGAAGGGCAACAGCATTCTGGTTTGTATCAGGAATAGTGTGGCCAGCAGGACTAGGGAAGTGTCATCTCCCTGTACTCAGCACTGGCGAGGCCCAACCTCGAGTACATTGTTCAGTTTTGGGCCCTTCACTACAAGACAGACGTAGAGGTACTGGTGTGGTACTGGTCCGAACAAGGGTGATGAAGCTGGTGAAGATCCTCAAGCATAAGTCTTATGAGGAGCGGCTGAGGGAACTGGGATTGTTCAGCCTGGAGAAAAAGAGGCTGAGGGGAGACCTTATCACTCTCTACAACTACCTGAAAGGAGGCTGTAGCGAGGTGGGGGTTGGTCTCTTCTCCCAAGTAAGAAGTGATAGGATGAGAGGAAAAGGCCTTGGGTTGTGGCAGGGGAAGTTTAGATTGGATTTTAGGAAAAATTTCTTCACTGAAAGGGTTATCAAGCATTGAAACAGCTTGCCCTGCCTGAGTCACCATCCCTGAAGGTATTTAAAAGCTGTGCAGATGTGGTGCTTAGGGACATGGTTTAGTGGTGGTTTTGGCAGCCTTTGGTTAAAGGTTGGACTTGATGATCTTAAAGGTCTTTACCAATCCAAATGATTCTATGATTCTACGACCCTTGGCTGGTAGAGTAGGGTTCTTTTTTTTTTTTTTTTTTTTTTTTTTTTTTTTAATATAATCAGTACACATTTCCAAATAAGCACCTAAGAGTTTTCTCCTAGTTTCCATAGTGTCTTTCAGTTTCTCAAAAGAAATTACTAAACCCTATATACCTGTACTGTTGTAGTATTAGAGCATGCAGCTCCTCACTATCTGGTTCTTGAACACTAGCTGACAAAAATTGTCCTGTGTGACAGTATTTAAATTTATTGCTTACTTAAAATTACAGCTACAATCCATCTGAAATGCTTGAAATAATAGCAATCTATGGATATATCAGATGAGCTAGGAAAAAAAGCATCTTTCATTTAAACCTGTACTGCCTTTTACTAATCTCCTTTACACTAATTTTGTATATTTATGATGACTGAATGCATGATTTATTATCAGACTTCATAATACTTAATAATACATTCTGCACTTGCTTTTCCATATATATAATTTTTTCAGCCGTAATCACTGCAGATCCATTTCCTTAAAATGCATTAAGAATATTTATAATTCACAACCAATATTTCAAGAAGAACTTAGTGCGTTTTTCTTATCTAAATGCATTGAATTGACTCAGGAAATAAAATATCTACCACTTAATTGTAGATGGAGAATTTTAAATATCCCATTCATTATTATTGCTACTACATGCTTAAGTAAATTCTACAAAAACATTAAACTTGAAGGTAAACAAAGAAATAATGCTTCATATTTTAGAAATGATCAGGGAACATGTTTAAACTGTGCTGCAAAGAAAAAACCTTGAAAGTGTGAGCTACTTATTCATAATTATTTGGAAACATCAATGCATAATACTGTTTTATAAGGTTTTTCTTATCTGAGATATTCACTGCATATATTGTTAAATTGCTACTTTCTTAATGTTTTTAACTACAAAAGATAGGATGGATTTAGGACAATAGTTGGAGACACTTTCAAAAAGTGTACTTGTAAATTGAATTAGAAACACTTATTTTTTTCAAGAACACCTTTGTAGTGATGTCTTCGTGCCTGGCTCTTGCCATCCAGGAAAGACAATGTCACATGCATGGCAGCTCTCATATTTTTGAGGTGTCCTTAAGACGTGGAATGTTTAGTGCAGCCAGAGTGAGACGTAGCGGCTTGACAGTGAAGTCTGTCCAAGAATGTAGTTGTGGGAAATTGGCTAGCTGAGAGGGTAACATAGATATGATCCAGCTGGCCGAGCAGGAGCTTGAGAAACATCGGACTCAGCTCCTGTGATTGCTAAATTGGCGAGGACACCCTAACCCTGACTGCAGGTGCTATATGGTAATGAGAAGCCTGTGATCGCTCAGGCATGGGAAAAGAGGGAGTAGCTGCATGGGAGAAGAAGAGGTAACTAACCACGGATAAGGAGCTAAGGGATGGATTGATGAACCAATCAGAATGCTGTATTATGGAAACATGTATGTATTAGCTAATTATAAAAGACAGCTGTGTTATTCAATAAACGAAGCTTGCTGATTGCTCATATTGAGTGTCCATGTCTTCCCCTGTTGCAACAAGTAGTCTTTGGTACTTTACACTGGTTTTTAATCTACTGTTTCGGAGAGGTGTCTGCAGAGCCTGTAGAGTGTTCATTCATTTAGTATAGCAGTTCTCATTTTGCAAAGATGCCTTGTTAAGGAAATGCAGTAAACGCCAATAAGCCCCTCTTCACTAGTGGAATTTTCACTGCTGACCAAACTAGACTTCTATTTTGCACTGTAATCAGGATGATGTTATTTAAAAGGAATTTTACAAATCTTAGTTTTTCTTTTGTTGTTTTCCCGCTAACCAAATGCTTTTACCTAAAACATTAAGGAAGCAGCTTTCTTTCCTTGTAAATAAATGTTTCAAATGGAGAACACTTGAAGTCACTTGAATACTTTTATTCTCTGGAAATTACAGTGAGGGAAAAAAGTCTTATAAGAGTTGAATGACTTAAAGATAGACTTCTTAATATAGGGTGAAATGTTTTGGGGATTTGGATGTACAAAATTCTGTAAGGTAGATACTGACTGTTGGAAATTTCTAAATTTCTGTTCTGCTTGAATAAAACCGTTTATTCTATAGTTTCAAAGCTGTTTGTCAAACTGTGTGCATGTGCACAAGCAAGTATGTCAAACAACAACTGTTTTCAGTATTTTTTTGTTAGATGATGTGAAGCTGATACTTTATTGATTCTCTTTTGCCTGAAGCTTATTCATATAACTTTGCTAAAGAGACATCTTTGCTTGTCAGCCGTCATAAAACATAGTTTCTGAAAAATAAATTATTTGTAAATAAATAATGGCATAGTTTAAAATAGATGTCATTCCATTTGACTTCTCAGAGTGTTCTATGGGCAGTGACCATCATAGCAAGTATGAGAGACCAAAGAAATTTAAAACCATTTTCATTCTGCTATAATATATTTTTTGCATTCAGAAATGATATATTAATAATACTGACATTGATTCTCCACTGTAATGTTGAGTTATATTCTTAAAATACTATTACAATCTCTCATTATATTTAATAAATGACCTAACCACTCAAACTCAGTTGGATCTTGAAAATAACAATAATAATTTAAAAATGTTGGGTTTACATCTTTTGCTTTGATCTCAAGTAACCTTAGTAAAATAACAGCAACAACAAAAACCTACTATTATTTAATAGATTATTAATTATTAATTAATTTTAATAATAATTGTTTAATCTTTCCATACAGGTGGGACTCAGTGTAACCTCATTTTTGTGAATCAGTTGGGAGGATAAATTACAAGTGATTTATATAAAACATAACTTTTCTCCTTCAGAAGAGATCCACCCAAAATGTTAATCCCAAATGGCTCACATCCTGCCAATGCTCTTCCCTGCTGCCCTTATCTGACTTTAGACACCTGCAATGTTTATGTCTTAGTTGGCAGTTTGGATTTCCTTTAATTAATAAAAGAAAAAGTTTGTATGGCAGAATTAATCTCTTCTTGTTGTAAACATCTAAGATGAATCCATGTATCACACCCTAGTAATGCCAATTGGCATTCAATGAAGAGTACCTGAGCAAGTAAATCAACAGCTGAGTTGTAGATGAAGACAAAGCAGACATCTAAAGTTAGGCAAGATAAATCGTATCCTATTCCTTCTCATGGACTACAAACTTTACCTACTCTTTGTGTGCTTTACACAAAATATGTGGCATGGTAACCAGAATATCTGTTTATACAATATATTCAAATGGGTTTAAGTGTCACTTTTTACAGATTCAGTTTTGCAAAATTTGGTGCTAGAATTCTTAGTTTCTGATACTGGGCTTCTGTGCTGTTAGTTCACACAAAAATCTGGTCTTGAATTATTAACAGTTCTAGTTCTGGTGTCCTTGTTTGCTCCCTGCCATATGTAATCCTGAAGCTGGATTTAGTGATGTAGCAAGTTATGACTTGAGTTTTTCTTTCAAAATGCTTCTAATGCCATGTTAAAAGGGTGCTGGTCTGATAATTTTGATATGAAAAAAGTCTATGGCACACTTTTAAAAATAATTAATATAAATTATAAGAATTTGTTTTCCCTTGTCTTTCTTTTGGTATGGATAAGCACTTCAACATAAAAATAAATGGATGGAAAAATTAATTTCATGTTTTTATTACAGGATAGAGGAAGAAAAGAATATTTTATCAGAATTTGAAGAGGACTTGAACAAGTTGATTTTATGGTTAGAGGAAGCAGAGAGCATTATTGCTATTCCCCTTGAACCAGGGAATGAAGACCAGTTAAGAGACTGCCTTAGCAAAGTAAAGGTATCAAGTTTTATTCTTGATATTTTCTTACTTTATCTATTCTACACTGAGTAAAATTAAATGGTATTTTCAGAGAAGTCTTCTGCCATCAAACACAGCATTAATTTAACTTTTTTAGATAAATCAAAGCAGTGAAATTTCAAAACCTAGGTACAAATATATATTGATCATACTAAAATGGGAAAAGTAGTGGAAAATGTACTGAAAGGAAAATACTAATCCTGTCACTAGGTAATGAATCATTATCTTTTTCATCCTCATTTCTTAATTCAGAACTTAACTGTTTTGTCTGTAAAACATTTCTCTATAGGTGTCTTGTTAATCTTTTATAACTTCTCATTTATGAAATGATAATCAGAATCTCACAAGAGTATCTAGTATTGCATGCATAATTATAACTGTCAACTGATTAAAGTATCACTGCAACATTTTCTAGACTAAACATCGAGGTGAGTTTTTAAAAATGCTTCTTAAAAAAAACCTAAGAGAATATTAAATGTTTCTTTTTAAAGGCTGAAATATTCTAATGAAGATGTTAGAGCTTTTAGACTATGATATTGCTAATAAATATATGCAATAGAAGTTGCTCTGTCTAGTTTCTGAAGTGTGTCTAATAGAATAACAGTGATTAATAACTTGCACAATAATAAATTTAACTTCAGTTGGAAAATGCATATTACTTATAGTATACCTGCCTAAATGTTTCCTGTCCTCTCTTGAGGGTAAGGACTAGTTATCCTTTGTGCTAATTCAAGTTGAAGAAATTCAGCGAGTGATGGAATAGAGTATTAAAGAATCTAAAGAAAACTTGTAAGAGTTTCTTCTATCCATCTTTCAACAAAATCTGAAAAAAAAACCTAAAGGATTTTTTTAGTAAAAATCTATCTTCACGTTTCCTTTTAAATAAACAAAATTAGCATAAACAGTACTGCATAGCATTTGAGGAAATGAAGACTTAACCATGTGCTGAGTTTGTCCCTCTGACTGTTTAGCATATAATGTCAGCAAGTTGAACAGAGAATTTGTGAGGCTTTGCCTCCATTGTTGAGGATGTCAAAGCGAAGGCAAAGAAATACTTATAAGGGATGTTAGATGCATCTTATAATTTGCAGACATGAGTACAGGTTTAAAGTCTAAATTGATTGTTTAGAACCATGAAGGCTCCCACTCTTCATTTATACACAAATATTTCCCAATTGTAGTATTCCCAACATAATCCATAATTAAAGGTGTTAGCATCTCTTATTCATATCTTATTTTTACAGTCCACCTTGTTCTTTCGGCACGACACAAGAGAATACATCCTAATGCAGCAAATAATAATGCATTGGCTTGCAGTGTGGCTCATTTCATACCTATCTGTTAATTTAAAAAAAAAAAAGAAAAAAAAAAAGGAAAGCCACAAAAAAACCTTGAAGAACTTTGTCCTTTAGTTACATTATCCTTACTTGATATATCAAGTTACTTTGACAATGTAAGTTTGCAGTAACTGAATACAGGATGGAGAAGTGGTACATTTAAATGATACCTTGCATCCTTTGGCTTTACTTGTGGTTGTTTTTTTTTAATGAACATACATGAACATTCTTAATTATGAGGTTAGACTTGAGGGCTTTTCACCACATACCAGCTGGGTGACTGTTCACAGCATTGAACATGTTAAAACCCTTCTCCAAAGTGCTTGATCTTTACCATATTAAAAGATTATTAAAGTATATATACATAAGTTATTGAGTGTCCAGAAGTAGAGCTTATCATGCAATAGTGATTAATATCCCGAGAAACCCCATATTTTGGCTTTTAGGACTCTCTTTAGTCTTTATCGACTAATGCAGTCTCTTTTAGGGGGTTTTAACCTTCTACATTCCAAAAGCAATGGTTATTTTGTCTTGAATTGAGTTTATTTCTTCAGCTGATACACAAATCGATAAGGGTGAAGATAAGAGAGCTGAAAATTCTACCGCAGTTCATCTTAACTGCTGTATTTGTCTGTTTCAGTCAAGAGTTGAAGAGCTACCGCCACACAAGGGAATACTGAAACGATTAAATGAAACCGGAGGAATAGCACTTGGAAGTGCATCGCTGAACCCAGACAAAAAGCATAAGCTTGAGAGCACACTGAAGGAGGCTAACCATCGCTTGTTAAAGGTTAGACATATTAGTGATATAACTGTGCTATAAAATTTTAATCTGCGGCAAATATTTGCATTATGTATTTTCTTTTTGTATGTATTATTTTTCTCTCTATGAAGAGACACTTGTATGCATAATGAACCTGAGGAAGAAAAATGTATACAATACACTGCTGTGAAAAACAATGACAGCAAACTAGGGCCATTAGTGCCTGAAGTGATGATGTTGCATGAAAATATATTCCCGAAATTACAGGTCTGCTGCTTAAGAGTGGAATGCAGAGCATTATTTTTGTAGCCTGGTTGTTTGGAGGGTACAGCAAATATTCCAGCTTTTGTGACTCAGGTGTGTGAAAGGCAGTAGCAGGTTGGATTGCCTTTATGGAAAACCTTCTCAGTTCTCTTCTCTCGTCTCCTCTCCCCAACACCAAGGTGGAAGCTGCAACCATGGTTTCATGTTCCACCATGCTGCTTCTAACCTTGAGCTTTGAGTTCTGGTTTCTGTGTAGCAAAGTACCACTCAGTTTGGTTTCTGTGATCTCCATACTCATGAAGTAAGGGAGGATTTTGTTGTATTTTATTATTGAGATAGCATATTTTTGTCTTGAGAACTGGTGACAATGAATATCACATATGGTAACGAGAGGTAGATAATTAGATAATTTGAGTGCTCTTATGTAGGTAGCTTCTGCTTCTGATGTAGCAGAAATGGTAGAAAGTGCTGTCCAGAGGACCACAACCCAAGGTGTGGATTAGCCTGGTCAGAAAAGGTCAATGTAGAATCAGCTGAAGGATTTCTGTTGGGACTTTTTCTGAGTACCTTACTGAAAACACTAGCTAGAGTTTCTGGTCAAGAATACTACATCCTGCATTTTTTTGTTACCATTTCTGTGAACACAGTTGAATTTCAAGCACAGACCTGGGAAATAAACAGGAACTTATTTGATGTGGGACTCTCATTAGTTTCCTTCTAACAGAAACGTTCTGGCAAGGTTCAGAATAATAGTTAAAGGCTCAGGCAAAAGTGGATAATAAATATTGATCACATTCACAAACTCCAAGTTGGACACATAAATCATTATTTGGGTGCCTGGGTATCTCTTTCTCTACAAATGGGTTTCTGACATCGATCTGTATGGAAGAATTCAGAACACTTTGAGATCAAAAAAGCATTATTTACTAGTTGAAGTAAGCATATATGTAGCTGAATTTAGGCACCACGACTTGCGGATCTGAGCAGCAGTATTAAAAAGACAACATTAGTTTTCAGGAAAAAAAAAAAGAAATTACTATTAGTAAAATTACACAAATACATTTTAATGAAATCTGTATTTTGTCTCTGAATGTAAGCTTTTACTGATTAGTAATATACCTAAAAACTTTGCATTTTCACTTTCTGCTTGCTGATGCAAAAATGTTGCAGGTTACTTGTCACAGTCAGAACAACTATGAATGCTGCTGAAAGCAGTTAGGTCTGAATGAAATATGGAGGACAAAGCTACTGTTAAATGAATCATTCTCTTTACAAGTTTGTCTCCTAGATCTAAGTAATATTTCTGACAAGATATTAGGCTTGGAAGTTACCACTTGAAAACTTGCATTTACTCCTAAAACCAGAAAATTGAATTTCCATTTGGGGCAATTACTTAACCACATTATTTTGATTTCAGTTATCTACCTGTGTGGATGTATAAAACTGAGAAGTACTCACTGGCCCTTGCTAGCTGAATCTAAAGAATCTGAAACATGCAGGGTATTTTTGTTGTTGTTTTGGTTTGGTTTTTTTTTTAATGAACAGAAACTGAATTTGAAAATTACAAGACTCAAATCCATACGTGTTCTCTGAAGGTGTTCTCTTTCTCTGAAGGTTTTCTATTTCCCATATCGTCTTGACAGAAGTAAAAAAAAAAACAAACAACAAAACAAAAGAACAAAAAAAACCCCCAAGAGGCAGAAGCTTATTTTGAGTTTCTGTCATTGGATTTTTCCAATGAAACTGAAGGGAATAATATTTATTTTTTCGTTTGCATATTTTTTTTCTTTTACTCACAGTTTGTATAGGAAGCCTTGATTAATTTTTTCACTTTCTCCTCTGAAGCTCTAGGGCCTGCAATAAAATTGGAAATCATGGAAAGAAAATCTGCAGGCCTGACAGAGGGACATATGTTTTCTTCCTTCAGTTATAGATCTGTAAGCACTGAAACCCCCCCCCCAGATTTTTACTGTGAGCCAAAGCTCACAGCTCTGGCACTTTTATATCAGGCGAACTTCTCTAGGTCACCTGAGGATGGTTCTGTAGTCAGTTGTTTTGATGAGGATATATTTTTTGTGTTCCTCAAAGCACAGTGGACAAACATCATCACACAGATATTTCTCTGGGGCTTTTCTGTGTCTCCATCCACTTCTAAGAGCGTATCTTATACTTTGATCCTTTGTTTCTACCTGTTTGTTTCATTTTCTGGCATCTTTGCTAGAAATGAACATGTAACAATCTACCATTTCTGATTATCTCACACTGCAGGACGATATTATTTTCAAAATATGAAACATACATGACAGTTACATAAATAATGTAAGGTAGGTCCTTATCTGGTGTACAGTAGAATAATTCTGTTTCCTTCAGAGAAGTTGTGACAATTTAGACCAGCTGAGAATGTAGCCAAATATCTTTTAAGGTTATGACAAATTTTTGTTTTGCCTTTGTCGTGGTTTAACCCCAGCCAGCAACTAGGACCACGTAGCTGCTCACTCAGTCCCCGCAGCTGGGATAGGGGAGAGAATCGGAAGAATCAAAGTGAGAAAACTCGTGGGGTGAGATAAAGACAGTTTAATAGGTAAAGCAAAAGCCGCGTGCACAAGCAAAGCAAAACAAGGAATTCATTCCCTGCTTCCCATGGGCAGGCAGGTGTTCAGCCATCTCAAGGAAAGCAGGGCTCCACCACGCGTAACAGTTGCTTGGGAAGACAAAATGCCATAACTCTGAACATGCCCCACTTCCTTCTTCTTCCTGCAGCTTTATGTACTGAGCATGACGTCACATTATGGTATGGAATATCCCTTTGGTCAGTTGGGGTCAGCTGTCCCGGCTGTGTCTCCTCCCAACTTTTTGTGCACTCCTGCATGCTCGCTGGCGGGGCAGTGTGAGAAGCAGAAAAGGCTTTGACTGCTTGGCAACAACCCAAAACATTAGTGCGCTACCAACACTATTCTCATCTCAAATCCAAAACATAGCACTACCAGCTGCTAGCAAGAAAGTCAACCCCATCCCAGCCTAAACCATGACAACCTGGATCGAATGGGGGACAAAACCTACAAGTCTTAACCTTCAAGGTTACATATTTGAAATAAGCCATGTTCAAACCTTCTTTACAGTCACATAAACTGATGCCGTACAGCAACGGAAATAAGCTGAGAAAAGAAATTAAGTATGAAAAGAATTGCAGTCACATAAAAGAAGCTTTTTCACTTTTGTTTCAGTATTGTTTTTGCTTTTAGGTGTTTATATCACGTGCTGATGACCTTGAGAACAGATATATGAAGAGTTTTTCTTCCTTTGGGTAGTAATAATTTTAAAATGACATTTCTTTAGACAATTTTATTGAGCTGTGATCCTAATAGACTGCTATCTCAGTCAAAGTTTAAGCAGAGAATGAAGATTAAAGCCCACATTTGAAAGCATGACTTTTAAATTCTAGCCTAGTTTTACTTATTGCACCCTCTCCAAAGTCAGTATTTCTTGTAAAAATGAAAATAACACTCTCTTTGTGACATCTTAATAGTATGAAAAATGAAATGTTTTATAACCATTTTTATGCCTTCGCATCAAGAATTTTTCATTTATTTTCAAAGCTCAAAGTATCTTCTGCTATGATAGCCAAGTAAGCTAACCACCTAGTGCTTCAAAGCAAACAAAAGGGGTACTAGGCGCTGGAGTTTGTGATGAATTCAGTTCTTGTCATATACCACCTGCCAGGGCATATAACAGATCTGTAATAGGTTTCTTACCTTTTACTGTGCAGTAAATGGATTGATAGATTAGGTCTGAGACCAGTGAACCATGGAATCAGAGGTTTGCTGGAAGGAGTTTATTACTCTTTAATATTATTCTTGGTCTGGTGTCAGCCGAGAGGGATGAGCTAGATTATCTGAAAGTAAGCTGGATGCCAAAATCAGCATTCTCCTCATTTATCCACCTTAGTCTTCACAACGTCTACTGTATGTGTTATGAAGGTTATTATAAGTGCCTGATGGAGACATTTTGTTTTGCCTTTTAATTTGTCTGCTAGTATTAGAACTAATTACTAGACACTGAAGAGACTGTTTCACTGTTTACTGCCACAGCAAATCAATTTGTTGTGCTATATGGACAAAAAAAAAAAATTGGAGTGGAGTGACATGGCTATAATTTGTGAACATTTCTGTACCACCAGGAAAAGTATAGGTCATCTTAGCTTGGTTGATCAAGTGTAGAGAAAAACAGATGGGCCCAGAAAGTGCAGAAAGACAAAGTCATAACAAGGTTATAGTTCATGTATTGTAACGTATCTTGAGTAGTAATTATTCATAGATTACCTGTGATAGCATCAAATTTCCAGCATGTCAGTGCAACTTAGTTTGAGTTCACAGTTGAAACTATTACAATTGCTACTACTGTTATTTCTGGGATGGAGGCGAAAAGATCTTGGAAAATTAATCCCTTAAATGTAATAAAGTCTTATGCTATGCTAAATTACCTATGATAATATGTCATAGATTGCTAATCAGGTGTAGTCGGCTTTCACGTCCGCTGTACTGACAAATGGTCTCACATACAGCAAAATGAAGCTTGATGTATATAAGTGTATGTTGGTCAAATGAACATGAGAATGTCACAGCCTTTAAGAAACAAGTACATATATAGGTTTCATTCTTTTTTATTTGAGTGTTACTAGCAGGTACGACTAATTAAGATTTAGAGAGGCAAATTTGCTAGCAGTGTAAAGATAAATTGCTGTTTCCCAGCCATGCTTAGCATAC